CTGAAGAAGGGTCTAGGCCCGAAACGTCAGCCTTCCTGCTCCTCTGATGCTGCTTGGCCTGCTGTGTTCATCCAGCTCTAGACCTTGTTACCTTTTAATAATTGTTTGCTTTTCAGATCTCGCATAATCATAACAGCAGCAGCTTCATAAACTAATACTCTTCAATGTGGTTGCTTAAATTAGATCTAGCTACAATATGAAAAAAAAATTCCCTTTACATTCAAAAATGGATCATTCAAAAACAATATTCTTGATATATTATACATTCTAACTGACTAACTACAATATTGCCCTTAAGATTCAAATCAATTTTGCAAGGAGACACTAACCGCATGATACGGCTTCATCTGATCGATCTCCACAGTCATCTTCTAAATCACACACCCATGACATTGGGATGCAACGTCCAGAGGTACAGGAAAACTGATTGGGTTGGCAAGTCTTCCCTGTAATGTAAACAATATTGATCAGAACACATTAGATGTCAGGAATCAATGTTGTTTTGTATAACTGAATAACTTTTTCAAAAACAGACAGAAAGAATTTATCTTCAGATTGAAACATGCCAGAATTACCCATAAAGTGAGATCCAATTGTATTAAAATATTCCAAGTGCAAACAATCACACAATCTAATCTTGAACATATGGTTTCTGTAACAAGAAAATCTTCCTTATTACTCAACTGAATATAACTGCATCCCATTTTAATGAAATACCACATTTGTACCATTTCCATAATACATAACTTAATATGTTATAATGACCTGTTGTTAGGTTTTGGGGGTTTGTGACCTCAATTACTTAATAGAGGAGTTGATGATACAAAATTAATTTTCAGAAAGTTTATTAAGTTTCTTAAGAAGCAGCAATTTATATTAATTGGATGAAAAAGAAAAATACTATGACAGTTGAGGATGATTCACTCTTACCAGAGGACAGAAAGACCTTTTTGTGTCACTTTCCTTAAAGTTGTGAAGGTACCATTCTTGCTAGCCAAAGTCTTAGGGAACTCTTCCCTGCATCTTCCTTCAATCTCTTCTGATCTATCTTCCATCTGAAGAAGACAGCTCTTTGACAAGGACTGTCCCCTCCAAGGGCTGCCCTCTCACTCTAAGCTCTTGTAAATACATCCTATTGCTGGAGCTGGCAAATATACCGTGTCAATCACTTTTCAGTCAATGAGTACAGGACAGCTATTCATTATGTCAAGATAAACATTGTCCCTTTGCCCACTTCTAATGTAAGGCCAGTTTTCATCTGTCCTAAGAGCCAACCTTTCTGTTTTTCCTAAACATCTTGGGGCAGCTTATGTCAGTAGCCTGAATAACCATATCGATAACTTGTCTTTTGTACTCTTAACAGATTGTTCATGTTTGGGCAAGGCAAGTAAATGCAGTAGCAGCTGTTACACGAGATCCCATGTTACACAGGAAATAACTAGAGAAAGCCAGCTTTTAAAAGACGCAAATTTCCAACACTATCTGTTTTTAAATGTTAATAGAACTCAATTTATTCAGACATGTTTATACCATGTTAGTGCTGTTATATGAAGTGAAATGACTAAAATACATCTAAAAAGTAAGGTATTATCAATTAAGACATAATTTGGCCCTGTGGATCAGACCTGCTCTTTGTGAAGGCATTATTCACTGATTAGTTTTAATATCAACTCTGAGTGTGGTCCCTTACATTTTCCATTCATAGCTTGCACTTAACACTTGACGGATCATGGTAGGCAATGTAGGTTGTGCTCAACGCCATGAATACCATGATTCGGTAAGGTTGTCATCTCGCCCAGAACATTCATATTCCTTTCTGCATAGCAGTCCCTGAACTATGCATTTCAACTAACCCCCACATGTTCATCCACTATCTTGAACTGTAACTCCAACTTGTATCCTTAAGCACAATTTAGTTGTGCCCATTGTTTCAGCAGCATTCCAATGATTGTTGCCGGGTGTGCTTCAGAGTGCAGCATTAATGTACCGAAACATGCTGTAAGTGGAGCGGAGATGGGCCAAGATGGGGCAGAGAGGTTGGTAGCCATAGACATGGGTGTATGCAGCCACAGCCCTTGGACCACTCCCTGTGTTGCAGGTGCTGGGTGTCCAGGAACGAGTCTGAATGAGCAATCAGCCAGCTGGAATCACCAAGTATCCACTCTGACTCGCATGACAAGAGTTCTTGACTTCAAGTTTCTATCTCTTGAGTGGTAGGATAAGATACTGCATATTAATGAGGTGAGATAAAGTAATGATGTGGGTGTTAATGAGTGATAATTCCCATTAATAGGCTTATTGCTGCTCACTAGTGAGATTCTTATATTGTCATTTGGAATTTACTTGGAAAATGTGACTTGTTGCTCCCACTGTTGAGAAAGGCCTTGCTGAACTTTATACACAATTCTCCCAAATTTCTTAACCACATTGTTCAGGACCTGGGAAAATTCTACCATGTGCCTCTTTTTTAGTTATGCTTAAATTTTTAATCACTGTCATCGATGAGGTAGATAATGTAGAACTTCAAAAGGGTGCAGAAATATTGGAGGAATTGGCAGACAAGCAACAGATGAAACTTAATGTAGAGGAGTGTGAATCCAGCCATTGTATTATGAAGAATGCAGAGACTTCTTAAATAATGGATACAGTTCTGAAGGGATTGCAACAGCAGAGAAGACAGGAAAACAGGTTTAGTGAGCTGTTAGCATATGGCATCCTCAGTTTAACAGAGAAAATGTGGAAAGATCTCATCATAAAACATAACAGCAAAAGACTTCACTCTTCTTTCCTCATAGTAATCTCTAAGAACACTTAACACCAGTGAAATAATACTCCCATGCTACACTCTAAAATTTTTTACTTAAATGATGAGGCTATAGAGCAAAGCTCTGCACATTCACTTGTGATTCTCTCTGTCACTGTCTCTCCTTGAGACAGATAAAACAGGCTAACTCATTGACTTTTCTCACTGAACTCTGAGGAAACAAAATAACTCAAGGCTTTTTCCAGCTGCGTTGATTATTTTTATGCTATTACTTTTATGCACATCTGCTCTTATGGATCTTTTCTTCTGATCTGAACACACTATGGATCTTTTTTTTTCTCTCTGGGTCATAAATTTCAACTTAGTAAACATTTCAGCATTTGTCTCACAGGTAATTTGATAATCATTTAGCTTAAGTTGCATAATGTCTTGAAAATTGTTTTGACAGACTGTGATAAAAAACGAATTTCTGATACTTGGAAAAAAGAACGTCATTCTTCACGGAATTATAAACCAAAACCCGTTTACCTCTATTTCAGAACCCAAGTTCCCAAGCAACAATAAAATATTCTTAAAAATCATCAAATTTTGTTGAATTTTCTGGGCTTACTGTTTTCAGAAAACCACATATATTTTTGCAAAAATAAATAATTACCAAATTACAGGTTAGCTAGATGCTCTTATGCAACTTTGTGTAAATTAACTGTAGATAGCACATCACCTCTTGATGCTTTGTTTCAATTCATTCACGTCATGTGAGCTTTGCTGGCTGAACCAGCATTTATTGCCCATCCCTAGTTACCTTTGAACCGTTGCATACCACCTGGTGTAAATAGATCCATACTGTAATTAGGAAAAAAGTTTCAGGATTTTGACCTGGCAACATTGAGGATTCTCACTTTATTTAGGTGAGCTTAGAACAATGGGTATGTTTGACATCTAAGAATCCCTGCATGTTGGAGCAGGTAGAGGTTACCCAACACTTCATCTTGGAGTTGGAACTCCAAACCCTTTAACAGCTGCAACAGTAGAATTACACTCTTACTACGCTCATGACATGCATACAACCATGCGGTCTACAAAAGTCTGGATGAATATTCTTCATGCTAAATCTATATTACATGAACAAGTCTTGAAGCAATGCCTAACATTGTTAACTTACACAATTCGTGAATGACACACCACTCTTCATCCTCTATTTCCTCATTAACACTGGCTATGATCTTTCCCACATTAGCTCCTGCATCAAGTCAGGAAAATAACATTTGTGGTTCAGGCATGAAGAATTCTTCATGTCTACCTTTGTCAATGCTCTTTGTTCAGTGAAGGTCATATATAATGAGCACATAGGCGCAGTTAACATTTTGTTTCTTGTATGTTATTGGAAGCAATGTTATTGCTTGAAAAGAATAGAATTGAAAAGAATAAGCATAAATTAACATAATAGATTGTGAGACTAACATATAATTACTATAATAATCCTACACAACCTCTCAAGCCCTACAGATCTTGATATCGGTGCAACTAATACAAATAGACTGCACTGTGTTTTCATGGTATGGAATGTTTTGAATCAAAGGCTTGTTTTTACTTCTCCTACTTGATTTGACTTTTTTTCAATTTTACCAGTTCCTAGCATTTTCTACAAGATATTATATCCTGTTAGGTAAATTGATTACAAATAGCAATAATTAGTCATACTGAACTGGTTTTACTCTATATTGGCACTTGTGGGATATAAAAAAGTTATATTTTTAGCATAGCTGATTGTTTTTCATATGGTTTATTGACTATGTTTTGTTTTACTACTCATATATATCATGTGCAATGACTTGGCCATAATATGGGCCCTGCATTTCTCGACTTCAGCCACTTCCACTAGGTGTCTTGACATTAGTTATTGACATCGGGCCCGCTATGTGGCTCAATAGCCATACAAACTGTCACATTTTGCTGCAGACTTAAGAACATCTTTGACATTTTTTCAATTGGTAGCTCTGTCATGAAGCCAGGAGGTCATGGTTTCATTACTACTCCAGAGGCTTGAACATCAACTCTGAGCTGACAGGTAGTGTAGTGCAGCTCTGAAGGAATGCTGTACTTTCAGAAGTGTGGCCTTTCAAACATTTCTTCATAGCTGGTGGGAACATCTTATCGTGCACAAATTGGCTGCTGTAATTCCTGCATTACAACTGCAACAGAACTTCAGAACTATTTAATTGAGCATGAAACTTTTTTGAAAAATTGGGATAAATGGGGGCTAATTATAAAGGGCTGGATGTTCTGAGGAATTGAATCAGATGCAAATTGCCACTGTGCCCTCTTTTGTTTTAGTTTGGAAATTAAAGCGCTCTGCATTCCCGTACAAAGAGTCCAGTTTGTTCCTTTCAGTGTTTCCATTCTGACAGGTCCTTCTTGGCATAGAACAGTGAGGTGAAGGTAAACCATACCAACTTTATTCAGAGCAGTTAGTTGCCCCGTGAAGACCCGGCATCAAAGACATTTTGATAACTTCTGTCAAAGACTAATTACATAAGGTAAATGAGAGGTTAGGTTGTAGGATGGGAGTTGGTGTTGAGTGCCAGATGGTTAGGGGGTCGGGTATCAAGTGGGTTTGGTCCCAAGTTTGTAGTGGGTAGGGAGCCACGTAGGTCAGATACCAAGTGATAGCTGGGTAAGGTG